AGTAAGTGAGAAACTCGTGGGGTTGGCTTAGATTTTGCGGATTGAGTTTAACCATCGCCAAGACGAACAAGAAAAGGGAGTTGATGAGGGAGAATTTGAATCAAGAGTCTGTTTTGTTGTAGTTAAGAGTTGTCACCTTGTAAAATTTGAGTTAGGAATAAATATCACTCATCCTGTTTTCTTCTGAACCAAAAGTGTTACCAATTTATTTCCAGTATGATTTTGATTCCTTATTCACTACACAAAAATAAAAATTAGCAACGGACAACTTTTGTCGTTAAACAAAAATATGTTGCTAGTTCTATTTAAGAGCTATACCTGAAGTCGAACTAATTGCATAAGCAGAGGGGAATTTCCCTGAAAAGCCTAATGACAATCAACTGCATAGGAAATTTTATGCAGTAGGGAGTACTTGTAATATTTCCACCATCCCAAAACCTGGCTAATTTTAGTACGAAAAAAGCTCAAATATGTTATCGAATTATCAAAAATGACTCATACATATAATCCGTTGACCTTGAGCTTACTCTTATGCCATCACTGTAACACTACATGCACATTCGTGCCACTCTTCACTAACAGCTCAAATAGCCGGTTTCAAAATACCTGTGGCCTCTAATTGAAGGTCGACGTCACTTCTAATAGCTCGATGACATATTTATCTGGCATATTTGGTTAAGGTTCTCTACAAAATGATTATTCAATGTGTCAGGGCACCAACTTCAGACATTTCCATTCAGTAAATTTTGTGGTTCCTGAATCCCGAGTGTCATGGATTCCACTCTCGTGATTCATATTGATCAATAGATTTATCTTAACCTTGTCGTTTGAATAGCTAAGGTCGAATGCCCGAATAGAAAGTTTTCAAAGCTGAATCATTTCTGATGCTTCATTTATTTTTCAAGAGTTATACACAGGTGCAAAGCACGTACAAGGAAGATACCAAACCTAAAACAAACTCGAAAATGGAACAAAAACAGAAGAAACACTAAAGGAAGTTCGAAAATCGCTGAGAATCGACTTAGTAAGAAGTGTTCCAATCAGACCAGTTAGCTTCACTGCCAACTCTAGGGATGCTGTTAACTCTGGAATACATATCCACTTTGAAGTTAGCTCCACACATTACCCCTTCACTATCTACTCTTGGCATGGCCCTCATCTTGTTCATCGGGTGCTCGAAATTCATTAGTCCTTTCTCACTGTGGAACATACAACCTGTGCATTTCAAGGAAAAGTTATCATGTCAAATTGAAACGTAAGTAGACGAGGGGGCGGATGTAGCCAAGTGAATCAAGCCAGTGAATCAAATTTTGTAAAATCGAAGAACTAAATTCAACTCCCTCTCCTATTTACTATAAGACGAAGAATACAACTGTATTTATTCTTTTTTCTACTACTTCCAAGTGCAATATAACGTCAAGGGGGGTGTCGATTCTTCCTTCATCATCCCCGACTGGTCTACAGGGTTCATAACTATTGCTCTTACTTTGATAACGCGGCTCAACTATTTCCCCCCTTTCGACACATCCGACACTACTTCACCAAAATATTTCATCTATTAAATATGAAACTCCTTGTAGCTGTTACCTGTGGGAAAGGGTGCAAATGACTTAGCACATCCAGCTTTAATAACCTCTACATCATCAGAAATCACAACAGATCCATCAGCAGCAATACCCCAGAATAACTTCACCCCACCATCTGAACCCTGCACTTATACGACAACAAATTAAACGACATTTTGATACATATAACATATCTTTACTTTAACGTAACAAGATTCAAAAGTCTATTCTATTTTCTTAAACTCCATATCAAGTCAAAATCAGACAAACATATTGAAACAAAGCTTGAGTAAATGAACAATCAAATAATACTCCCTCTATCCCAAATAAAATGATTTATAGCCACACAAACATATATCACTTATTCTAAACTACAAGTTTCAAAAGTCTATCTTTCTTTCTAAAACTTCGTGTCGAGTCAAACTAACTCGTATGAAACAGAACGGAGGGAGTAATACAAATACTTACCAAAGCAACAAATACAGTTCCAGTCTTACTATCATAGATAACAAAAGCAAAACTTCCTTCAAAATCCTTAATAACTTGATCAGCTGGATAAGGTCCCCTGTCTCTAAGTGTCCTGTAGGCTTCAATAACTAGCATGGCTTCATTTGTACCTTTTGGTGATAGCCCATATTGTTTGATTTGTGCACATAAGTTGTTCAAACTCCCCATGAACAAACAGTAAATATCATCATAACCACAAAAATACCTACAACAACAATAATAATCGCGCTTCAATTTCAAGAAATTCAAGGCTAAAAACGTTTTTTTTAGCTAAACAACAAAATTCGTATTCAGCAAGAAGTTAGCTACGAGCTACTCCATCCGTTCATATTTAGTTGTCTTGTTAGGCTATTATTTTATACAATTCTTCAGAAAAAATTAGTTAGGGGTGTAATTTGACTTATATATATCTTATTAATTTTTTTTAGTCTTTATTTATTTCTCTTCTCTAAATTCGAAAATAACTAATGCTAAGGGGGAAATTCCGTCCCATTTTATGTGGGATACTTTCCTTTTTAGTACATCCCAAAAAGAATGTCACTTTACTAGAAACAATTTAACTTTAAAATACCATTTTTACCCCTAATGAAATGAATTTCAATGGCACAAATATCTAAAAATTATTTTAGACCACAAATTTCAATAGTTCATTTCAAGTCAAACAGGTCACATAAAGTGAAACAAAAGGAGTATTTTTTTTATCTTTTGATTTATTAATTGACAAATATTTAAAAATAATTACTTTTAATATATGTGACAACTAAATGAAACGAAGTATTTAGCAATGAACAAGTGACCAAATTTGTAGCTAATTTGGGGTCATCGTTAGTGTTCATATCAGTCCATTTAAGCTTATCTTAGTTTTTAATAATATAAGTACTTGAAATACTCTATATCTTCGTGTATAAATCTCTAACAAAATAAATAATCTACTAATTAGGCAGCATAATTCACTAAGCATTTCGAGTTCACACAGAATTTGACAAAAATGACTCACTCCAACTCCTAAGTGGTGCGATCTAAGCCACCTATACCCTCATACAAGGATATTCATAATACAATTTTGTCGTATCATCAAATCAAACAGTATCACATAAAATAAAACGAAGAAAGTACTAAAATTTGTAATAATTATTTTACCTTTGTGTGTGATTGAGAAAAGAAGTGCAATTTGGACGAACAAAAGCAAGAGCAGCAGCATCTCCAAAGGTAACATAAGAGGTGTCAAATGGACGAGTCGAGATGAATTTTTGTAGTGTTTGTTGAGGAAGTAAACATTTTTTTGATGCAGGACTATTTAATTCTTCAGGAGGATGAGCAAATGCTTTGTGAAATATAGCCAACATTGTATCTTTTTTTAGCTTCAAGATGAATATCTAACAACAATATAAAAAAAATGGTTACTGAAGGAGGGTATATATATAATAATAAACTTTTTACACTAATGTTTTTATTTTTATTTTTATAGTATAGTAATAATAATAAAGGATGCTAAAGATGAAATATGTCAATTTTATCTTGTAGTGATAGAGTGTGACGTGACAATGATGAGGATGGATAAGGTTTCTCGTATTTCTATAATGTCTTTATCCATTTAGATTTTACTATAATATTTATACCAAAAAATTAAATTTAAACTATATTAAACTGAAAAAATAATTAACTTAATCTAAAAATATCTCTCTTTTATCATAGTTTTGATTCAAAACTATCAGTATCATTAATAGCTTATCCAAAAATGCTCTATTCTTTATTATGGTGTGTGTCTATATTAATATAATATTAATTACAATAATCAATAATTTAAACAATATATCAAAAACGTACGATCAATTTTTTAATTTCATTTATGTCACATAAATTAAGACAATGGAGTAAAGACATATATTTACAAATTTTGTTTAAAAAACTATAAATTGCAATATAAATTTAAATCACAAATTTTAAAAAATATTTTTAAATTTTGACGATTAATATATTGTATAGAAATTCACATTTTTTTTTATTAATGTACATAAGTCATATCCTTATCCATATAGTTATTTTTCTATTTATTCCTCCAAATATTTTCTTTCTGATTATATTTTTCTTTTTGTTAAGCTTTATGTCAGCCAGCCGAATTGTTTTTTCTACTAAAAGAAGAAAAAGTGAGCTTTTTACCACTTGATATGGGGCCAACAAGCTTTAACAAATCTATGGGTGATTATAACAATTTATTTGATGGTATTAGAATCGCGCAAAAATCAATTTAATTAATAAAGTGAATCGAAAATAATATTAGTTTATCGAAATTGAATTGTTGAATTTACAGAAAAGGATTAAAATTGCTCATGAATTATATAAAATAGATTACTTATATCTTTTGTTATATATTAAAATAAAAAATATTTTTGCCGTTAGTGATGTGGCAAAACCACGTGGATTAACTCTCCAACCTAAGTACTGTGAACTAGAATTTACTTATAAAAACTGGATCTTTAGTGGCAATAACCATAATCTCTCACTATTTGCAAAAGCATATTAGTCATTTTTGTTGTAATTTATGCAATATTTTCAAATTGTTTTTTTAAAGTTTAATTGAATCAATTCTATTTAATATTCATATTCTATTTAATGTAAGAAGCCATGTTATATAACATTGCTTGGATTCCTACTTTTGCTAAAAAAAAAATTAACTGGGAATGAGGTATCGAATCCTCATCAACAAGGTGAGAGTTTAAATAATCAACCAACTGAGTTACTATTGTTGGAATTCAATCGATATTATTACATTATTTAAATCTTTTAAAACCTTTATATCTAGTTTGTTGGCTGCCAAACTATTTATTTAATAAAATATTTATGTTACGGTTTCACTCTTTAATGCCACGCGTCATTTTTTATTGGCTGTGTCATCATTGATACAATCTTGTTTGTTTATTTAAAAAAATATTGTACTATTATATTTGTTGGTTAGATCTATTATCATTATTATTTTTGGCTTTAATTGATATTTATGTTCTTTAATTTTAAATGTACATACATAGATATTTATATTTGTGTACTCGCAGACACATACATTCTACTTAATGTTTTATATGACAGTTCACATCCTACGTAATGTCCTATATATATTATATCATGTAGGATGCATATATTTTATTTATTCAACTTTATACTAGTTAAAATGACTATTTGTGTACATCCGAAGTAATTGGAGGACATAAATGTCAACTGGAACTAAATTGAATGACATATTTATGTAATATAGATGTCTTTTAAATTTAACATTACTCCCTCTCATCTAATGTTAAATGGATACCTTCAATATTACACAGTAATTAAGAAAATATTAATAAATTAATCAATTTTTCTATTTACCCTTTGTCCATATCAATGTTTATAAACATAAGTTGGAAAAAATATACACAGAATATAGAAACATATTTGAAAAAATAATACTCTGCTCATCTTTACTTATTCAATATTTTCGCTACAAGACCCTTTCAAAAATAACGCTCTATAAGATTTCATACTCTATGCTTGAACTCGAAATCTCGGGTGAAACAGTCTACTGCACCACGTTGATATATGATATATATATATATATATATATATATAATAATGTAGTACTAGTCTGTTTGTGTTAAAACGTCCGTCAATGGCGGTTAACGTCAATATTGACTAATGTTGAAAATGCTAACGTAGGAGCTTGCGTCATTTATATTCTTTGGACCCATTTGTTTAATGAATAATGATTGGCTGCACTAATATATATATATTGAGGATTTTTGCATCTATTAATTAAAAAATAAATTGGGAGAAACAGAGAAATAATGGAGACTGAAGAAAACTACGTGGACTAATTCTCCAACCTAAGTAATGTGAACTAGAATTTACTTATAAAAATTGGATCTTTAGTGGCAATAATCATAATCTCTCACTAATTTGCAAAAGCATATTACTCATTTTCATTTATGCAATATTTTTAAATTGTTCTTTTAAAGTTTAATTGAATCAATTCTATTCAACGTAAGAAGACATATTATAATGCTGTTCAACCATATATTTAATTTAAAAATTAATTTATGCTATTGTCATAATTGAAGGATATTTTTAGTTTTAAAAATAATCTCAAGAGCATTTAATTAATTAATATCTGAAAATAGGACATCTTTTGAGCCATTTACTATATGTTGAGGATGTTTTTAATCCTTTCCGTTTAAATTTTAATCCATAATTATTTTAAATGCCTTTGCAAGAGGGGTTATAATAACATTAATAAGGGGAAAAAATGGAAGGAAATTACTTAATTAGTTGGGGAAGAAGAAGCAAATTGCTTCTACTGAGAAATAATTAGTTTTAAAGCTTATGTGGTTGTTTAAAAAGGTTTATGTCAGAATCGAACCCTCATCAACAAGGTGAGAGTTCAAGTAATCAACCAACTAAATTACCAGAATTTCAAAGAAAATCACAATTAATAGAATTTTTGTTGATTTTGGGGTTGGAACCAGAGGTGAATCTAGAATTTCAAGAAGACGGGTGCACTATTGTCAGGGGCGGCTCTGTCCTTTTAAGAAAAAAGGCAACTAATTTAGGCTTTCAAGTTTGAGGGGCCTTATTTATTTTAGCAATAATAAATATTGTTTTTCATAAGAAAAATATTAAATACATTTGCAAAATAAATTAATTTTATTATAAGAAAAAGTCATTAGAAGAAGTTTAAAAAAGGCTGAATGCAGAAACTCTTTTGTGAATAAAATAAAATGCAAGGTTGTGAAAATGCAGCATCTGGGAATCGATCCCTCAACCTCATAGTGGAAAACTGACACTCAAACCAATTGTTCGTGTTCATGGATTCCTTCAGTTGCTATTTGATATATTTTAAGAATTATACAAGTAATACATCGAGTTTTGTTGGATAACCACAAGTTCAAGTGACCCATTTTTTAAGCTTAAATTTGCCCCTGGTTGGAATTCAATCGATATTATTACATTATTTAACTCTTTTAAAACCTTTATATTTAGTTTGTTGGTTGCCAAAATATTTATGCTACGGTTTCACTCTTTAATGCCACGCGTCATTTTTTATTGGCTGTGTCATCATTGATACAATTGTTTGTTTATTTAAAAATATTGTACTATTATATTTGTTGGTTGGATCTATTATTATTTTTTTCTGCATCAATTGATATCTATGTTCTTTAATTTTAAATGTACATAAATAGATACTTATATTTGTGTATTTATAGACACATACATTCTACTTGACGTTTTATATGACAGTTCACGTCCTACGTAATGCCCTATATATATATTATATCATGTAGGATGCATACATTTTATTTATTCAACTTTATACTAGTTAAAATTACTATTTGTGTACATGCGAAGTAATTGAAGGAAATAAATGTCAACTGAAACTAAATTGAATGACATATTTATGTAATATGTCTTTTAAATTTAACATTACTCCCTCTCATCTAATATTAAATGGACACCTTCTATATTACACAATGATTAAGAAATCATTAATAAATTAATCAATTTTACTATTTATCATTGTCCATATCAATGTTTATAAACATAAGTTGGAAAAAATATACACAGAATATAGAAACATATTTGAAAAAATAAAACTCTGCTCATCTTTACTTATTCAATATTTTCGCTACAGGACCCTTTCAAGGATGACGCTCTACAAGATTTCACACTCTATGTTCGAATTCGAAATCTCTGATTAACGGGTGAAACAGTTCCACAACTACACCACGTTTGATATATATGATATATATGATATATATATAATAATGTAGTACTAGTCTGTTTAAGTTAAAACGTCCGTCAATGGCGGCTAACGTCAAGATTGACTAATGTTGAAAATGCTAACGTAGGAGCTTGCGTCATTTATATTCTTTGGACCCATTTGTTTAATGAATAATGATTGGCTGCACTAATATATATACTGAGGATTTGTGCATCTATTAATTAAATAAAATTGGGAGAAACAGAGAAATGATGGAGACTGAAGAAAACATTGTAATTGTTGGTGCTGGCATAGCTGGTCTTGCTACTTCTTTGGCCCTTCACAGGTAATAATTGCTATTCTAAAATACTTGTTCAATAATTACATCATCTACTTACAAAAGTTTGATTTAGAAGGGCATATGCATTTGAACGAGCATTTATGCCCTCCACTTTTAGATGTGTATAAGTAGTAATACACTTAGGATGCCAGGTAGATGCAGAACTGTCACGTAGGATGCCAGGTAGATGCAGAACTGTCACGCAGGATGCCACATGGGATGAGTGTGTTTACTTAGCTTGTTCAACTTTTGAATAATTTAACAGTCTACTTGTACCGGCCCAAAGTTGGATGACATAGATGTGGAGCAAAGTTAGATGATATATTTATGTATTATGCCTCTCTAGAATATGATATTTATGATATAATAGCGCTATTAGTTGAGTGACGATTTGAGAAATAACTCGATGGAAGGCGTGTCTTGTATGTAATATGTAGGTTGGGGCTGCGGAGTATTGTGTTGGAATCAGCAGATTCGTTGCGAGCTACTGGATTTGCATTGGCATTGTGGACTAATGCCTGGAGAGCTTTGGATGCGTTGGGCATTGGGGACTCTCTTAGACAACGTTCCTTATCAATTACTGGGTAAGCTTCCTCTTTATTATTAGTTAGGATTTAGGATTACGAATTGAAGTTCATATGTGGTCATATGTGTTTTCCGGAGTTCTAGCTCTTGAAAAAAAGTTGAAAAATTGATCGTCCAAAATGCATTCGAGTTGATGTGCAGGCTTAAAAGTTTCTCAGCGGATTCAGGTGCACCTATCAAGGAGGTATCATTTGTGGGGAATAACAGGTTAGCATTATACCAATTTTCATATTAGTTGGGGTCGGTTATATAAGTCCTTTTATCTATTCGTGTTTATGTATGTTCATTTTGTTCCAACTAGATAATATAGCATGTGAGACAAATTAGGAATTCTCTAAAATTAGAGGTTTTTTGAGTATCGCAATCTATAGAGATGTATAAATTTCTAACCATTGATATAAAGACTCCTCACAAACGTTGAAGTAATGCAAACCTCCGGTTTTCACAACATCGATCTTCGTAGAGAACAATCACATTTGTTTACGAAGGACTTAAGTATGAATAGCATATTCAGAGGATGCTACATACCCAATTTTTTGTATTGTTCACAAGTACAGAGCGGCGTGGTTTTAATGTCCAAATCCCTATGATTTCAACAATGAAATTAAGTTCATTTTGAATAACGTGGTTGAGTACGTCTTCCTTCCGACTATTGGATGGACTGATCATTCGTCAGCCAACATTTTTATTTTTGAAGTCAATAGTCATCTAAAGTCAGTTATATTACGTTGCAGTGTTGAGTATGAAAGTCGTTGTGTGAGGAGAAAAGATCTGTTGGAGACATTAGCTAATGAACTGCCTCAAGGCGCGATTAGATATTCTTCAAAGGTCGATTCGATTGAAGAATCTGGACCATTGAAATTGGTACATCTTGCAGATGGTTCCACTATTAGAACCAAGGTAAATCTTTCTCTGAAATCCGTAACTTGGAATCCCTATTATTGGAAACTTCAACCAACGTGATAATTCAAACGTGTATTTGACCATTATCTCAATTCCTTTCGTTAGTCTAGTACGTGACTAACTTTGATAAGCTTCAATTAAGGCCTTAATTGGGTGTGACGGAGTCAATTCTGTGGTGGCAAACTGGCTTGGGCTTCAGAAACCTGTCTATTCTGGGCGCTCTGCAATTAGAGGCTTTGTTGAGTATCCGGAAAAACATGGTTATCAGCCTAAGTTCCACGCGTATTTTGGAGGTGGAGTTCGGTTTGGATTTCTTCCTAGTGATGAGAAGAGTTTGTACTGGTTTTGCACATTCACACCATCTGTTGTTCATTGTAAGCCACCTCCTACATACTGTTTCTTTTGAAGATTTACTTTTTGAAGGATATTTTTGTTGGCTAAGAGAGCTTACCTCTATGAAGGGGGAGCCTTGACGTAATTGGTAAAGTTACTGTCATGTGACCTAGAGGTCGCGGATTCGAGCTGTGGAAACAGCCTCTTGCAGAAATGCAGGGTAAGACTGCGTACAATAGACCCCTGTGGTCCAAGCCTTCCCCGAACCCTGTGCATAGCGGGAGCTTAGTGCACCGAGCTGCCCAGATAGCTTACATTTCATAAACTAGTCATGTTTAGTTGTTCATTTTAATTGGGATTTTATGCAGTTGATGGAAATGCAGAACAAGATCCAATGAAATTGAAGCAATTCGTGTTGAACAAGGCTACTAATGTGTCTAAAGAACTCTCCACCATTATAGACAGAACTACGCTCGACTGTATATCTATCGCTCAGCTGAAATTGAGATTGCCATGGAATGTTCTGCTTGGGAATATTTTGAAAAATAACGTTTGTGTGGTAGGTGATGCACTTCATCCCATGACTCCTGATCTTGGTCAAGGTGGATGTTCTGCTTTAGAGGACAGTGTTGTTATTGCAAAGTGCCTCGGAGAAGCCTTGACAAAACCGATAACAGAACAAGAAGATGATGAATCTACGAAGATTAGAAAAGGACTCGAGAAGTATGCTAAAGAGAGGAGATGGAGAAGTTTTACATTTATCAGTGCTGCTTATTTATCTGGTTTCATACAAGAGAGTGATAACAAGATAATCAGTTTCTTAAGACAACAATTTTTGGCTGGAGTCACTATATCAGTTACACTAAGAATTGCTAACTTCGACTGCGGAAGATTAACTGTTTCTTAGTAGCTCAATTGGATCCTTTAGAAGCTATGAATATCCTTATGGACTTTGTTTAATATCTATCTAGCATACATGTTCTGGTTTAGTTGTGTCTAAGAATTGTAATACCGAAACGGATCCTTATTTTGCAATAATAAAATACAAGTTGTGAGCAACCAATTCTGTCCTTCATCGAAGATATCCAACAACATCAGTTGTTTAGAAGTATTGAACAAGTGTTTTCTTATCTGAGATCATTTCGTGCAATTAGATACTACTCCCTCTGTTTCAACTTGTCTGTCTGGTTTTGACTTGATACGAAATTTAAGAAAGTAAATAAGACTTGTGTACCATGGACCGCTACTTGGTTCAATGACTTCCAATTTCCACAAGGTATCATTGTTTTGTTACATACTCTTGAGTAGATGTAGGAGGAAATGCAGGAGTCAAATCATGTCTTTAATTGTTTTTTTTGTTTTTTTTTTTGGATTTCTCACTTGACTTGTCAGGCAATAGTATCTCTCATTGGAAATTTGTTACAAGTTCTGCAGCAAAATTTTCTACCGTTTGTCTTACATAATGGGACCAATTCACATTGTCTTAGGTGACACACACTATAGAGATAGTCGATGATCTCGAAATGAAAACAACATTTAGATGGGGGCGCAATCACCCCCATTTTTTTGTTTGTTTTTCTCTCTATTAGACTACTTTAATTTGATTTTATATCAATTTATGAATGTCGTAAGTATGTATTTTTAATTGAAATTTTTCTAGTAACTAAACTTTAAAATTTATAGTTATTAGCGTGAAAGGAATTGATTTTAACATTAAAATACGACCCTCATTTGATGTTTCTGGTCATAGTACTGTTAAAAAATTACTTATGATTGTTACATTTTATTATTCATTATAAGCTTATTTTCACAGAAATTACACAAGTGTAACTCATAAACTAGTATATATATATATATATATATATATATATATTACTAAAAGTGGGAAGAATCTAAGACAAAAGTTAGATTATGAAAATACCCTTAAGTATTAATTTATTTTCTTAAAATCATTTTTAAAAATTGCTTTTTCATTTAATAAATAACACAATAATCTACTTTAAAGTATTTTTAATCTATATATATGTAACAATATTAAATGGCTCAATAATTAATACTTCACTTTTTCTGATAAAAAATAATAATAGTATAAACATAGGTTACAATAAAATTTAATATTTACCTATAACTCTAAATTAATTACCAACGAAGAGTAGTATATGCAGTAAAGAATTATGATAAATGGGGATAGTGAAGAGTCATAGGTTCATTGCATAAGGAGTCATTTTGTTCAAGATAAAGGTATCACTTTCTAAAACTTTTGAGTCACAAAGGATTTTTTTTCTGGGGTAACTAAGAAATCTATCCATGACTGTTGAATTTCTTTTTTTCTTTTCTCATGATTATTGAACTTGTGACTTGTCATTTTATGGTGCAAAGTATTGTTAGAGGTGCGCAGGAATAGAATACTATTTGGCCCTTGAAAAAGGAGACCAACACGGTTTAGATCTTTGGTGATCTATCAATAAGTTACACATCTTCTTAATAGATAGGTGAATCGTCTTACTTTAATATATGTTGTTTATGCTACTTCAATCTTTCCATAAAAGCTAAAATTGTGTGTATTTTGAAGTTTAAACTTATTGTAGTGTTAACGAAATTTATTTGTTTCTTTTTGTGAGAAAAAAGAAATGGTTAAAGTTAATATCTAAATGTTATTGCAAACTATTTCAGAGAATGCAACTCCTACTAAGTGATGGAACATCCATACTTGTGGATCCCTATTTTTATCAAATCTATATATCATACAAATTTGGATAAAAGAAGGGGGGGGGGGGGGGGGGGGACAATTTTCCCTATTTATTTATTTTAAAATTTTTACAAAAAATGAATGTGTCAATTACTACTCATTTATTTATTTATTTATATTCTGTAATATAAACATTTATTTGCCTTTATTTCAATTATTCACATGAATTTTGATTATTATAACTCCTATATTATATTAATAGTCATGTTCATAATATCATTTGATATTCCATATTATTGTCCTATAAATAGAGATATTATAAAGGTGCAAGTATTACACAATTTAGTTTGACTTTGCTACTTCTCCACCATTGGTTATGAGGGTGACACATATTCCCAACTTGTGAATCATTTATGTCTTGAAATATGTACCATTCAATTGCTCATTTGAATTTGAACAAATAATTTTATAAAACAGAATAACTTTAGCTAAATAATTATAATGGATAAATGAATATAGTGTTTGATAAATATGATATTATTTATGCGTTGCACGTTTATTTCTATTTTTTATTATAAAGTTCGTAAAATAAAATAGTAAATAAAAAAAAAGCACTTAAAAAGCTACACAACTTGTAAAATTTATGGTCACCAAAGCAAGAATTATTATCAACCATACAAAGACTCAAATTTTAAAATTTGAAGTCTTATCGTGTATAATAATTTTTGATTTGTAGTTATTTATTTGTTGAATAAGAATTATACTAGATGCATATTATAATTATACATATAACCACATATTTAGTATCTCATTACACATAATACCTACTCCCTCCGTCCCTATTTAGTTGTCCATATTTCCTTTTTTAGTTGTCCCTATTTAGTTGTCCATTTTGACAAATCAAGAAAGGACAACAAATTTTTTCCTATTATACCCTTATTTACACTTCTTGAAAATTGTAAAAGTGTATGTTGTTTCCCTCCAATTTATTTCACTTGAATTCAAAGAAGTGGTTGTAATTTTGAAGTGAAAAGTTGTCATAAGGATAAAATTGTAACTTCACTGTGCTAATCATTGTTGCCTTAATCTGTGTGTCATTTCTAAAGTGGACAACTAAAAAGGGACGGAGGGAGTATTAAGCTAAATTTAATTGTTCAATTTTGCAAGTTTAGAGTACATTCTCTAATATTTTGTATGTATTGAACAATCAAGTCATTTGTGTAGACTAATTATTTATCAAATTGAACTTGTACTTCTTTCTTCTGATTTATATACTCATTATACACATGTTTTAATATTGCCTTATAATTTCAAAAAAATCTATACAAATTGGGATACACGTGCCCAAAAACTAGTATATGGATAATGATGATTGATTTGTAAGAACAGAACATTTTGTTATTTGCTGAATACAAAAAAAGATGTGACTTGTTAACTGGTCATGTTATCGGATTGGACCTTAGTTGCAGTCGGCTTGATGGAACTATTCATCCCAATAGCAGCCTCTTCCAACTCCATCATCTCCGGACACTAAATCTTGCTCACAATGACTTCAATTTTTCTTCAATCCCACATAACATTGGCCAATTGACGAATTTGAGACATCTCAACCTTTCTGGTTCTTTGTTTGAAGGGGAAATCCCAACAGAAATCTCATACCATTCCAATTTGGTTTCACTTGATATGAGTAACAAGTTGTTAGAAGTGACTAGTACTCATCCATGGACCGCTAGTTGTGTATTTAGTGATGCCAAAGTTGTATTATTTTCTCTCAATTTATGCCAAAGTTGGAAATAGACTTATCAGGGGGAAAGTATCCCATTTTATTTGTCTAGATATCTTTTCTTTCTTTAATTTAAACCACACACTTCCATATACCCAGTGTAATCCCGTAAGTCAGGGTTTAAGAAAGGTAGAGTGTACGGACACCTTATCTCTATGAGGTAGAGATAGAGAGGTTGCTTTCGAGAATAAAATACAAGTTGTGAGCAACCAATTATGTCCGTCATCAAAACTACCCAACAACATCAGTTGTTTAGAAGCAAATATGGTAATTGGTAACAGCTTAAGGTAAATCTGAAGTATTTTATAAGTGTTGGCTTATCTGAGAATTAGATGCTACTCCCTCCGTTTCAATGTCTGTATGGTTTTGACTTGACATGGAGTTTAAAAAAGTAAAAAAAAAATTGTATCTTGTGGTCTCAAATTAAAATACGTAGAATGTACCATGAACCACTAATTGGTTCAATGACTTCAAAATTCCACTGTAACATTGTCTTGTTAAATCATGTCTTCAATTATTGTTCTTTTTATTTTTCTCACTTGACTTAGTCAAGCAATAGTATCTCTCATTGGAAATTTGCTGCAATTCACATTGTTTTGCGTAACACACACGGCAAAGATAGTGGATGACCTTGAAATGAAAACAACATTTAGAGAAAACAAATTTGGAATAATTGGTACTGGCCACCAAGAATTAAAGACTCGAGTCTTTATGGAAATTGACTTAACATTTGGGACAAATTTTTTTTGCAACCACAAATTAGTTTGTGGTAGATCATGAGGGGCAAGTACCCCATTTTATTTGTCTGGATGTTTTACCTCACAGTCCCATAGACAAGTCAACAACAACAATAACATATTTAGTGTAATCTCACAAGTGGGGTCTAGAGAAAAGTAGAGTGTGTGTGAGAGGTTGCTTTCAATAGACCCTCGGCTAAAAATAAAGCATGGCCAAGCATTTTGAAAAAGGGAATACAAAAGTAAAAGTAATAACAACAATAAAATAATTTGAAAAGAAGAGTAGTACAACATACAGATGAATGAATAATATGACAATAAAATAAAGCGATATTCGAAGCACAAAATACACAGGTGATACCCGGGAAAAAAAAACTACGATCGAATATAACACACGATAGACAAGTCAACAACATATTCAATATAATTTCACAAGTGGGTGGGGTCTAGGGAGAGTAGAATTTGTGCAGAAATTACAGGAGCGTAACTCAGAAACTAGTATATATATATGGATAATGATGATTGATTTGTAAAAACATAACATTCTATTATTTGCTGAATACAAAAAAAAAAAAAAAAAAAGAGAAAAAAGATGGGACTTGTCTTTTTCTTTTATTCACTTGTCTGTTTTTTGTTGGTAATTAGTGAAAGCTTTTCTTCTTCCTCTGTGATGATGCATCATGTTTGCTCTCCCACTGAAGCTTTTGCTTTGCTTCACTTCAAACAATCCTCTCAAATCTCTGATCAACCTAGATGTTGGGATGAGACTGATCTGCAATATGAGAGATATTTTGATATCCCAAAAACAAAGTCTTGGAATGAGAGTAGGGATTGC